GAAACTCAGGGCTCAGGTTTGGGGGTCTCGCCAGCTCAACTGTCTCCCAGCACCGTGGGTGCGGAGGCCTCTGCATCTCTGGGGGTATGGGGAAGGTGGGAAAGAAAACAAAACAGGATGGGGAGGGGGGAGAAGGAGTAGGAGTAGGAGTAGGAGCAGTAGCTGGGGAGGCAGCAGGGGCTGGAACAGCAGGAGGCAGCAAGCTCTGCCCCAAGGTCGATGACCACCTTGGGGGTACGGACTGTCCTACCCCCCCATGATGTGGTCCATGACAAAATAGGGGCAGGGGTCTGGGTTAGCCTGTAGACGGTTGTGTTCCTCCATTTAGTGCAGAGATCATGGACATTGGAGGCATCCCCCCAAACCTGAATTAGGTCCCTGATCTCCACACTGGACCAGGCAGGCGCCCGCCTTTTCCAACCCCTGGCAGGCTCCTGGGAGCTGGCAGACTGGTCCTGGAGGGCTGGCTGGCACTGGCTGCCTAGCTCATGCTGGGGCCACTGGGTCAGGTGCAGTGACTGCTGGCTCTGGGCTGGCAGGCTTAGAGCTGGCACAGGCACTGTGGCCAGAGTCTACCCCTTTAAGGGCTCCAGGGATGGGAGGAGGGAGAGGAGTTTTCTTGGTTGTGCCCGGAGTGGCACCCAGGGCACCCTGGGAAGAGCTGGAGACCCCTATTTAGAAATAAATGTCTACACAACACTTATTTAGAACCAGCAATTTCAAAATTGGTGCTATTCCTTATGGAAGGAGGATTACTAATTTCAAAATAAGCCCTCCGTTATTTTGATTTAATTTTGAAATAGCAGTTTGGCTGTGTAGATGCTGGTAAAGTTATTTAGAAATAATGGCTGTTATTTCAAAATAATTTTGCTGTGTAGATACCCATAAATACATGGGCAGTTTTCATGTTAAAAGAATTAACTTTCTTTTTTGCTGACTCCTTTGCTTAACTGGCCTCATGTGTTGTTACTATAGCCACCCTCTGGGATAATCCGATCAATACTTTCTCCTTTTATATAGTTCCATATAGAGTACTCATTATTATCAAGCATTTCATTGAAACCTTTGCCATCAGAATACAATGACATCTCATCCAAGAACTAGGAATATTTCCTATGCGATAACAGCTGGCTGCGTGAAAACCTGAAAGACCAGAATAATAAATCTTTCAAATATAACATCCCTGATTATGAAAGATGAAATTCAAATAGTTTAGGCCTGATTCACCTCTTTGCTTACACTGGAATAAACCTGGATTAACTCCCCTGAAAGCAAGGGAATTCTATGTAAAAACCTGTCATAAGTGAGATTAGCATCAGTTCCTCAAGATTCAGATGATTGAAATTTCACTCTCATATTTTCCTGTGCTTTGGGGGTTCTGTCCAGGGTTCTGAAGGCTTTATCTATGTAAATAGGATCATATCTGATGCTAAGACTGATCAGTTTGAGAATCCATGATAAAGATAATATATAATCCAGGGTTGCTAGAGTCCTCTGAGACCCCCCCCCCCTCAGGACTCAAGTTATATATCTATGTTGATTTTATACATTTTCAATATGCCAGGCTGCCCTTACTTAACTTTTGTAAGCAAACATTGTTCAGCAGTTCATTTCTTCACCATTCAAGTGCATTTCCCTTATACTTATTAGAAAGGGTCCCTCCCCCTTCATTTATATTCCAGTTTATTGCATCTTGAGGAAATTGTCCTCCAGAATTTGATCTGATTTTCTACAATAGAGCTTCAAACACTTTTTTCCCCACCCGTAAGTTACTGTGATAAGAGAATGTAGGTCACTAAAGCACATACTTCAACATCCTTTTTCAGCACAGGCCTGCAGCCTGAATAAATCTTGTTTCTCTAATTTGTAAATGTCTTTCTGGCAGCTTGTTTTATCAGAGGTTTCCCAAGCACTTCCTTGTTCCACCAGCTTGACCCACAAAGCAGATTCCCTGATTTTTTGGTGTATAATATAAGGCCCCAATTCTGCAATTAATTCTGTGGGTAAAGCTAACTGAAGAGACCTACTGATCAAATTTCCAGATGAGCAAAGGCTCAAAGAATTAGGTATGTTTAGTTGGGAAAAGAGTTTTGTCTTCAAATACTTGAAAGGCTGTCATAAAAAAGATGGGGAAAATAGCTCATTTGGCCATAGAGAGTGGCAATGAGATCAAACTAAACAGAGCAGATTTAGATTAAATCGCAAGAAAACTTCCTATCTGTTAGGATAATGGAATAGAATTCCTAAGGAGGTTGTGGGAGCTCCTTCACTGGTGGTTTTAACTGGAGGTTAGATAGTTTGTTAGAACAAATCTTACTCACAAAAGCTCATGATTCTATATACTTAGATTAGTCTTGAAGGTGCCACAGAACTATTAGTTGTTTTTAAAGTTACAGACTAATGTGGCTACCACTCTGAGATGGCATAAAAGGTGTAAGATTTAGTGAACCTTTGGTCCCTTCTTCCTTTATGATTCTACAAAGTTTAAAGTTATCTGTGCAGAATTCATGATGGGACTAGGCCTTATGACAGGGCTATAGTTTTTCAATTGTATGATCTTACATGCAAACAGTCCCTACCTTTTGTATTGCACTAGTATTTACCATAGGGCTGTGTCTACACTGGCGCGATCTTGCACCAAAGCAGCCGCTCTTGCGCAAAAACTTGCTGCCTATCTACACTGGCCGTGTGTTCTTGTGCAAGTAAACTGACATTCTACTGTATAAAATCAGGGCTTCTTTGCAAGAACTATGATGCTCCTGCTCAGGAATAAGCCCTCTTGCGCAACTGTTCTTGCACAAGAGGCCAGTGTAGACAGGCAATATACATTTCGGCTACGTCTACACATCTACACTGGCATGCTTTTAAAAGCATTTTCGGAAAAGCGCATCTAGATTGGCATGACGCTTTTCCGCAAAAGCACTTTTTGCGGAAAAGCGTCCATGGCCAATCTAGACACGCTTTTCCGCAAAAAAGCCCCGATCACCATTTTCGCGATCGGGGCTTTTTTGCGGAAAACAAATCTCAGCTGTCTACACTGGCCCTTTTGCACAAAAGTTTTTCGGAAAAAGACTTTTGCCCGAACGGGAGCAGCATAGTATTTCCGCAAAAGCACTGACAATAGTACATGAGATTGTCAGTGCTTTTGCGGAAATTCAGTGTAGACAGCTGGCAAGTTTTTCCGCAAAGCAGATGATTTTGCGGAAAAACTTGCCAGTCTAGACACAGCCTTCTTGTGCAAGAAAGCCCTGATGGTTAAAATGGCCATCAGAGTTTCTTGCGCAAGAGAGTGTCTACACTGGCATGGATGCTCTTACACAAAAGCACATCTCTTGCACAAAAGCACATGCTAGTGTAGACGCTCTCTTCTGGAAGAGTTTTGGCACAAGAACTCTTCTGCAAAAGAGTTCTTGCACAAGAAGCTGCCAGTGAGATGTAGCCTAGATTTTTAGTGTTTGCTGTTAATTCATTTTGAATCTAAATAAGACATAGAAATAATCTGTAAATAATGACAGTGCATCTGAAAATATGAAAAATAAGAGTCCATTAATACTGCATTTAGATAGCCACTGACATGCTGTAATCATAAATAATTTCTTGTGAGTTGTATGACACTCTTTTTCAGCTCACTTTAAATTGAACTGAGTAGAAACAATGGTAAACCATCATTCTTAAAAATGATATTTGATACTTAAATTAATAGGACTGTTTGAATGGGAGATCGCATCTGAGATACAGTCTTTGACCAGAAAAAGCACACAGAGAAGCAATAACAAGACACAGAAGGAAGGTCAGTGGTTAGCCTTTTGAGAAAGGTTTCTTTTTCTCCCTTGCTTTTATTGTGACAATGTGATTTTTATTCCTGTTTAAAATGCAGCAGTAGAAGACAAGTGGCAATATTTGTAATGTTAGAGACATATAATTTGTAGAGGGAAAAAAAAACATTGTTTTTTAAAATAAACCTACAAAACATATATTAACTTTCTGTTATTCCAGAAAGCACTTCTAGCTAGGCACTAACTCCTTGATTTATAAAAGATGAGATATTTATGGTTTATTCTGTGAGAGATATTATAATTAAAGCAGATGTAATATAAAATGTACCAAAATGGCTTCAAACATTATCACCCTTTTCTGAAGCCAAAGAGCACTTTAAAAATAAATCCGACTTATCTTGACTTTTTTCAAATGTCTTTCAAATGTAGTGGTCAGGTTCATCTATATTAAATGTTTTCAACAATATTTTTCTATCTGAAACTAGAGGCAAAAAATTGAAAAGAACAGAAGCCGTGATGAAACAAGGCTCTGAAGACTCAGAAGCTGGAAGGAATTAATGTCAGATAATCATAAAAGTATACATGATTTGATTGTAGCAGAATTTTTTTGCATTTCTCCCAAAAGGATCACAATGAAATATAAGAGGAAAAAAAAAAACATAAATGGGGCTTCAGATTTCACTGAAGGGTAAATCGGTGGGACTACTTCTGACTACTTTAGAAACTTCATCAGAAACAAGATTACAAAGCCAGAACTATGATTTTAACCAATTCTTATTGATTTAGCTTCCACTATTTTCCTTCCCTGATTACTGACTCTGCTGTTTTAAATTATGGTTTTCCTCATTTTTTTTTCTATATTTTTAATCTTAACATTATTTGTATGATAGTTGTGCCTAGCAACTCCATCGGATATCATGGTCCCTTGTGTTAGGCAGTGTACAAATGCAGAGCATAACAGACTCCTTTCCCCAATGCGTTTACAGACTAATTAAAGGCACATTAAGTGTGGGAGGAGAAACAGAGAGAGAAAGGTTAAGGGACTTGCCTAATGTCTCCCAACAGAGTTGAAAGAGGCTCCCAGAGTCCCAGTCCAGTGCACTGTACCCTAATGCATCTCTTAGGACCTATAAGAAATTTCAGACTGCATTTGTAATAGCTTATGACTTGTCTTCACTGTAGCACAGGGGTGAGCAAAAGGGCCTCTAAGGGCCAGATCTGCCCCACTAAGTGGGTGGATCCACCCTGTGGAGGTCCTGACACCCTCTTGCCCCCAGGTCTGGGGGCGGGGAATGGGCAAAGTCTCCTCCCGCGCCAGAGAGATGGGCACCCAGAGAGAACTGGGGGAGGGGGAAAGGAGGTCAAAGGCAGTCCCCCACCCTTAGAACAATTATGGTCTGGGGGTGGTGAACTCAGAAGTATCCTGGCCGCACCCCTTCTACTTGAGGCACCGGCCCTTCGGCTGTGGGCCCGGAGCCACTTCAAAAATTTCTGAAGTGGCCCCCAGCAAAAAATTATTAGTCACCCCTGCAGTAGCAGGTTTTAACTGCACTGTCCTCTGTGGGAGCTGGGAAAAAGATTTTTTAAATTACAGAGTATGACATTGTTTTATGATTATTTAAATTTCATATTCTAATTTGTACTCCCAATTCAAATAACTTGTAATTTGATCTAAAGGTCTGTCAACTTTGTCTGATATTTTGGTATCTGTCCATCTTTATTAACAAACTCTGTCCTACCTCCCTCCTCTCTCCCCCTCCTCTCCCCGATTGTCCTTGTGTATTTTCTGAGATGGTTTTCTAGGACAGTTTTAACAAACATATGTACCTTTTTTAAGACTGTATGACATAGATAAACTAAAAATAATATTATTTTTACTTGTGTGTCCAATATTTTTCTCTATGGCTGAAAAGCGTTAAACTCACACATTTTGTATTTATTCTTTATTTTATTCTTCTTCATTTTCATTGTCAGTTTTACTTATCCTCAACAAAAATCATTCCATAAAAGAACCTATTTTGTGCTCCATCAGATTTTATGACTTCTCTACCCTTCCACTGCCACTTAATCTCAACAAGCATTCCTAGTGCATATCTTTTAGAAAAAAGCCTATGTTCATATTTTTAAAAATTGCTGTTACATTGCTTAATTGCATGTTTTGCAAGATCATCTCCATGAAAAGCCCATTTTCTTTACAATACAAGCTTTAAAAGTTTTATGGAAGTTGAATCTAGACAAATGAAGACTGAAAATAAGATGTGAATTTTTGACAGTGAGGGTAATTTAAATATTGGAACAATTTACTAAGAGTTCCAGTGTATTCTCTTTCATTGCATTTTGTAAAAATCAAGACTGGATGTCTTCTAAAGGATCTACTTTAGGAATTATTTTGGGTGAATTTCTAATCTTAATCAAACTTATCTTCTGTACCAGTAGTTCAGAAATTTGGAGTGTCATAGAGGCACAATGAAACCTGTACCTAGAATATGACCATAAAGCTGACATTGGTTGTTCCTGTGACAGAGTCAGGCTGGAGGACTACAGCTGGTAGAGAGAAAGGCAGCAACAGCCCTGAGCAATTAGGGGCAAAGGAGATAGGGCTGCTGCAAATTAAGCAGAGCCAGCTGATCTCACCTGAGGCTGCCATTGAACCTGTTAAAAAGGATGCCCTCCTAGCAGGAAGGGGGGAGGAGAGTGAGAGAGAATGTAGAGAAAAAAAAAAAATCATGCCATGCAGCAGTGCCAGAGATAGCTAAGTGGTGGAGGGTGAGGTGCCCCAGACCAGGGTTGTTAGGCCCTCCTTTGGCTGGCAGCCTGAGATCCCAGCGGGACAGGACTGTTTTCACAGCCCAGGCTGACCCTGGGGCATTGGCCCAAAACCTTTGTGGCTGAGAGACTGGAGCTGGAATCCTGCCAAGGGCAAATAGTGCAGGACTGAGGCTGTTTGAGGTAGGCCTGAGCAGGGTGTCAGGACCCAGGAGTGGGGCCACCCTTCCACACTATGCAGAGTACAGAAATAAAGATGATCTATAAGAACCCATAAAATGGGAAACCAGTGTGGATTGCTGTGAGCTGGTAAGCCTGGCTTGGATTACTGCCTGTCATATATCTGTCTCCTGCTGATTTTGTCTTTAGTTAAACCAATCTGACTTAATCAGCTGATTTGTTTGCATATTTGAAGTCTGATCTGAACCCATTGGCTTTAGGCAAGCTTCAACATGTGGAAAATGTTCACTAGTCTCTAGCCCCTGGTCTAGGGGATAAATTTGAATTATCATACACAACTTCAGTTACATTAATTGCGTAGCTTAACTTGAAGTATCTTAACTCAAATTTAAGCGCTATTCACCATGCAGGAAGTTGAAGGGAGCACACTCTGCCTTTGACTTCCCTTATTCTTCGTAGGAGCAGGACTACTGGTATTGATGGGAGTGCCCTTGCAATTCAAATTAGCATGTCTTCACTAGACCCACTAATTTGAACCCTGGAAGATCGACTGCAGCTGTGGCATAGATATGGCCTCAGATGAGATCACCAAATCCATCCTAACAGCGATGAAAAAATATAAATTCTAATGATTGGAATCTTCCCTCCCAAAAATGTATTTGTGGAAGGAATGAAAAAATATTAAGTAGATGACATTTAATACTTTCTATTGCACAGCTCTTTCTTCTGTTTGTATTATTATCTTCCTTGGGTTTTTGTGTGAGAAAATGGCTGCTTTTTTTCATTTCACTGGGTGTGAAATCTAGCCAGTTTGACAAATAAAATAAAACAGAATTTTTTCATAAGGAGTTTTTAAACTTCACATTAAAGAATTCTTAACAACAACAAAAAAAGACAAAGCTCACAAATGATCAGACATTTATCTAGAATTGTTGTGTCAAGACCTGAATCTGTGAGCAAAACCCTGCCTTATTGAAGCCAGTGGGAGTTTTGCCCTTGACTTTAATGGAGTCTGTATCAGGGCAGCAGCAGGGTGGAGAGTCCCAGCCTTGAAAGCCCTAGAGAGAGGAGCATTGACCTTCCCTGGTCCAGCAGTCCACAGAGGTCCAACCTATAGTAAATTTCATTTTTTAATTCTTACATCTATTTGAAAAATACATGTATTAATTGAAGTATTTCTTTGTCTCTCCAAAATAAATGTATTAATATTTCTTAAAATAAATTAAATTAAGTTGCAATTTTCAAGCAACCACAAATCTAAGTTCAAGTGAAACAGAGCAATATATGGAGGCAGAGAAACAGATTTAACTTTCAAGCTATTCTTAGTGATACATGGCACTTGCTGATACATAGGGCACCCTAAGTTTTGGGTGCCCCTCTGCAGCCAAGTGTGCTGTATAGGTACCTAAGTATGTCCCTGACCACTGATGCTTCTTCTCAGGCCTACTTTCTCTCTCTTCCCAATTGCTCTCTTGAGCAGCAGCAGCAGGTCTGCCTACTTCCTGCCCTGCACACTTTGCTTCTCTTGACCAGCAGGTCACTAGCTGAGGGCTCCCTATGGCCAGACTGTAGGCAGAAAAAAATTCTGAGCCTCTGAGGCTCCACCTTGGCCCCTCGCAAGCCCTGAGTCCTGCAGACTCATAGATTCATAAAGACATAGAACACTAGAATGGGAACGGACCTTGAGAGGTCATCAAGTCCAGTCCCTTGCCCTCACTGCAGGACCAAGCACCATCTAGACCATCCCTGATAGATTTTTATCTAACCTGTTCTTCAATATCTCCAGAGATGGAGATTCCACAACCTCCCTAGGCATTTTATTCTAGTGTTTAACCACCATGTCCAACCTAAACTTCCCTTGCTGCAGTTTAAGTCCACTGCTTCTTGTTCTATCCGCAGAGGCCAAGGAGAAAAATTTTTCTCCCTCCTCCTTGTAACACCCTTTTAGATACTTGAAAACCGTTATCATGTCCCCTCTAATCTTCTCTTTTCTAAACTAAACAAGTCCAGTTCTTTCAGTCTTCCCTCACAGGTCATGTTTTTTAGACCTTTAATAAATTGTGTTGCTCTTCTCTGGACCTTCTCCAATTTTTCCACATCTTTCTTGAATTGTGAATGCCATGCTGTAGTTGGAGAATGGGGGAGGCAAAGAGAAGCCCCAAGCTCAATGTGCAGCCTCTGAAATGTTAGATCTCTCTGGCTTAGAAAGTTAGAAACAAAGAATCAAAGCAGGTTTAGCATTCAGAGCAGAATTCTGCTAAGACACTGTCCAGTTCATATAGGTTAGATTTAATGGACCCTTTTTAATCCACTCCTTGTTAGACAGTCCCAGGTAACAGCCTATCACTGGGGAGGGGACTGGGAGAGTGGTGATTTGGGGCGGATTGGGGAAAGGAACAAATTACCTGGAGTGGTTATATAGAGCCCCATAAATCTAAAGCAGTATTTATCAAAGTGGGCCTGTGCTGTTTTGTTTATCTAAAAGGTATGTAGCCGTTTCCAGCCTAGGGGTGCAGCAGCCCACTTTGGAAAATAATGATCCAAAGGATGGCCCTGGGAAAATATATACATTAGTCATCTTGTAGGAATGTTAAAACTGCCTTTGGAAAAAACTCAATGATCAATAAACTACCCACAGCTTGTCAAAATCCATGACAGATATTTTGGTTTAGACTCCACTTTGTTGACTCTCAGATTCTAGGCTCCAGATAGAGCCCAAATATCTACACTGAAATTGTATAGGCCTAAGCTGTCTGGCTATGTCTACACTAAATAGGTTTTGTGCAAAAGTGCCCGGTTTTGCGCAAAAACCTGCTGAGCATCCACATCACAAGCGCGATTTTGCACAAGAAAATTTACAGTGAATCAACAGAACGGAGGGGTTTTTGCAGTGTAGGTATTCCTCTTTTTATGAGAAATAACTCCTTTTTTGCTCAAGAGCTCTTGCTCAGAAAGGTGGGTGCGGACTGGAAACGGGGTTTTTTTGTGCAAAAACAGCCTATCAGAAGAAGCACGGGTACCCTTGTGACCATTCTGTGAATGGCAATCAGAGCTTTCTTGTGATAGAGTCTCGCTTTTCCAATGTGTTTTTGCAGTGTGGACGCACTCTTGTTCAAGAAGTTTTTTGGGACAGCCACAGCTGTTTTACTGCACGATAGACATACCCTTATTCCATGGGAAAGCTTTATGCCACCTTTCTGTCACCAGTGTTCCTATGAATATCTAGACTAGAGGAATCCTTCTCTTCTCAAGTTTGTGGTAGAGGAGGGAAAAATGGGAAACTCACTCTCTTTTCATCCTTCAACACAAGCAGATTTAAAGCAATGTAGCATTTGTCACAGCAGTGGGATATTGATATGACTGGCACTTCATGTAGTGCTGTGTAGCATTAGTCATGGGCGTAGTTTATCACTATTAAGTCTGCTATTGCCATGTATGCTGTCTTTGGATTCAAGTTCAGCTCTGTCTAAACTGTTCTTTTCCTTTGGGAAGAAAAATTGCTGGTCTTAGTTGACATTTTTCTTCCCTCCTCATCTTTCACTGGGCTGTTGATTTTTCTTTCTTCCTTTGTTGTAATCCACAACTTAGTTTGGAAAATTTCCCAGACATAGCAGCAAAA